TATTCAAAAACAAAAACATCATCGCTTTCTCAAAATCACATAAAGTCATATTATAACATCGACTGAGATAAAGAATAAAATGAAATATTAAAAACACGATGTATCTCGCTGCATTGCGCGAGTACTCTTCTAGTAATTCATAAATAGTTGGTTTTCATAATTCTCAAAATATTTGTTATTCCAAAAATTAAAATCTCTAAAAAAATTACATCCAACTTCTATTTAATATATTTTAATATTAATTATATTATTAAATATTCCATAATTTATTCATTTCAATACACTTTTAGAGAATTCTTAAAATATTAAAGTTTTTTTTTTTGTTTTTTCTATTTCAGAAATAATATAAACCACAAGGGTGGTGCCTAATTTGTTTGAACATGGCTCCAAAGTTCAAAAGTAGCAGGAGGTCTCAGGCTTAAATTCAATGAGGAATAAAAATCCTCTTGTGGCCACGGAGGTTCAAATACGATGTCTCCGGGCTATTTGCAAAGCAGGTGGTCGTCCTGTGATTAGCAGGCTCGCATAGCGGGTTGGATATCCAGGTTAATAAAAAAATTATGTAAAGAATCTGTTGGAGAAAAATAAATGAAGAAAATTTCATTTTCTTTGTTTTAAAAAATCTATTGAAGATGTTTTTATCTTTTTATGAAAATATGATCCTTTTTCGACAAACCGATTTCTTACGGAAATGTAAACCGCATTTGGGATGCATAAGGTTTTCTGTGAAAACATGAATAGAAACTTGGTGTAAAAAAGAGGGAATGTTTTTCTTAATTCAGATTAATCATTTCAAGAAATTAAAACACGAATTCAGTCGTACACACAAATAAAAATATCCATGCACAAACCGAGAAACTTTTCTTCGAAAAAGCATATGTTTTTAAGTTACACTTATAGCTTTAGCCATTCACAATAATACAACATATTTAAGGGGGAGTTTTCTGGTTCAGATGATAGTATCCGATGGAATTGGAACTCATCAAAAAAATTGAATTGGAAGGTATTCAATGAAGTTTGACCACTATTTGGTGAACATTAACAGTAATAATAAAAAATTGGAGGTAATGGTGGCGGCAGCAAAGGCAGGACGTTTATGGTCATAGCGGCGGTGGTGGCAATGGTTGTGACAACATCAACGGTGGTGGTGAAGACAACAGGGGCAGTAGTAGCATTAGCGATGGCAAGGGCGTTGGTCATGTATATAGTAGGCTAGGATTTCTTTTGGTAGTTTGATTTTTTGAAATAATGGGTAGGAAAGAAATTTTACTCCGATGAAATCCTTGAAGTGTTTTGAAATTATGGAATTCAATTTCATTCCATGTATAAATCAAAATGTGATTTTGTTCACTTATGAATATTTAATACTCTATAAAAGCAAAATGTCAAAAATATGTGAAATTTAAACGCAAAATTTCAGAAATATGTGAAATTTAAACATTGATCATGTGATAAGGGTGTTATTGCCCCTAGTCTTGGTTGGTTGATGCAAAGACACTACTTTTGGATGGTTAATGCAAAGACACAGGATTACATGCTAAGCATAGGCGACCTGGTTTGGACCCTGGCGAAGACCATGTGGCCCAAAGACAAATCAAAGGCTAGAGAACAAGTATTACAATGCAACCAATGCAATGCAACCAATGCAAGGAGGTACTCTAAATTTTAAAACGTAAGGATTAAATAAATCATAAAAATGTCGATGCATAAACCTAACTCCAAAACTTCAACTTAATAAAATGTAGTACTTAAACAAAAACAAATATTCAAAAAGCAGATCTTTGAAACATACAATGGTTTACCAAAATACTCAAATGCGATGAGATCTCACTTCAATGGGATAAACCTTGAAGAGTGGGTGGCACCGATACCAGGCCTACCGTGCTTGACAGGCTTGTATGAAATTGAGAATTCGGCAAGGTAGTGGCCAATCATCTCAGGCTTGATTTCAATCTGATTGAAAGTCTTGCCGTTGTAAACACCAATAACGCTTCCGATCATTTCTGGAACAATGATCATATTCCTCAGGTGGGTCTTCACAAGCTCTGGCTTTTCACCTGCAGGTGCTTCACGTTTCTGTTCCACCACAAATAAATCTTCATCACATATACATATCATCATCAATAAAAAGAAACCAAGCCACACCCAGAGGAAAAAATATGGATCGAAGTTCAAATATACTTTTAGAGGAAATCAGTAAAATGCTTATGCGGTGAAGTTAGTAACACATATAACTGCATGTATATGTAAAAAATATAATCAAGAGTTAGGGTCCAGTGATTTTTTCAGTTAGAGTACAATAATAGTACATTGCGGTTTTGGTCCCTGTGCATTTTCAATTTTCTCGATCTTGGTTTCTACAGTTATTTCATAGCAAATTTGACACTAAGGGTAAGGTATATGCATTCCCACAAAACCCCTTTCTCATTCTAAGGTCTATTCCCTTATTGTTACTGAAGTAATAGCTCATTCTAAATGATAAAAAGCAGAAACTATGTAGTGAGGCTAAACAAAGCATAAACAATGTAGGATAGAGACGGGACTAACTGAAGCTATAAAGACTGTTTTCGAAAAGGAACTATATCATGCCTAGTTGCAGCTAAAAAGAAAAAACCCCATAAACATGATCATGTCAATTGGAACTACACCCATTTCTGGAAACACTTGCAGTAAACATTATCTCCATCCAGCATTCTAAATATAAGTTTCACAAGCTTTAATCAGTAACTAATGCATTTGAGAGAGCAAATAAATTACATTCCACACATGTTTTCTTACAAGTTACAGTCAACCAAATTAATATTCAACAATGGAACCAATAGTTAGCAGCCTTCTAATTTTGATAAGTAATTGTATCAAAATTTTGATCTGATTTTCACATAATCTCAAACAATTACATTTCCAAATGAACAGCTTATGCTTCAAGCAAACAGTTCGATTAACCCTCATAGCTTTTCAAAACACCAGATGCTAGCAAGAACTATTACGAATTATTACTATTAACACAATAAAATATGTACAATAAGATCTTATAACAGTAGGACGGTATTAAGAAACATACAGCTTTGCGGAGCTTCTTAATCAGAGCCATGGGCTTCCTCTTCAAACCTCTTTGAAACCTGTCAATGAGGAATTCCTTTACAAAAAAAATTCATATAATAATTGAGATTTTTGGATGATTTTGAACGGTATATATACCTTCTGCGAGCACGAGCAGTGAAGAGCTTTACAAGCTCATCGGTGGACATATCAAGAAGAGCATCCAAATCAACTCCTCTGAAACTGAACTTCTTRAACGTCCTCTTCTTCGGCACTCCGGCTGCGGCCACATCAACCTCCACGTCCGCCTAAAACAACAAAACATCAATGCACATCGTTGCCAGACCATTTCATCACAAAAAAACATGACAGAAACAATGACAGGAAAGCAAGATTAGATCGATAATCACCATTGTCGAGTTGCTGCTGAGAACGACGAATCTGCTACTACTCCGATCCGATACGGTCGCCTAGGGTTTTGATTGAGTTGGGGTTTGGGCCCAGTCCTGATTTCCATTTATATATGCTACTGAACTGAAATAGGGCTCTCAGCTTTGGGCCGCGAAAATGGCCCAGAGAGTTTTTTAAGTTACATTAAATTGCGGAATTGGTCCTTGTATTTATTTGATTTTGGTTTCCAGATAGCAAATTTTGCCCCTATGGTCTACTTTTGTTCTGTTTTGGTCCCTCCCATTAACACCGTTTCTAAAATTCATGTTTAGAAATAAAAAATAGTATCATGTATTAAATGTATTGATTATTTAGTTACATAGTTAATACAATAATTGCTAACATAGAGTAGTTGTTGAAGTTGAATATAATTATCTTTTAGAGATTTTAATTTTTAATACTCTATTTTAGAAAAAGTATCGCATAGTTGTTGAAGATGTTCTCACAGACCAGTTGGGTGACTTTACATTGTATGACAAATGATAGATTACTTTTGTTTGTTTGTTTTCCATGTTAATTATAAAGTGTCTATGAATAATATATTAGTATTAACTCGTCAATCCAATCCAGCCAGCAAGATTATAGTTAGATTGAGACATTTTTAAATCATCATAATTAAGTTTGATTGTTAAAATACTACAAACCAACCAACTAACCAGTATATTTGCACCCTTATTAATGAGAGGACAATCAATATATCAATCAATCACCGATATATATATATATATAAAGAGGTATTGAGGTGCATCATGAGAATTCAATATTAAGGTGCCGTTGAATTATGGTTGAGTTTGAGATATCTCACATTGGTGAGAGATTGAAATATTAGAATAAGGAGGTATGTATAAGAAAGAAGTTTGAGATTCATTGTGTTAACTCATGAGACTTGACTCGTAGGGTTATCTTACCTGGATGATCCTATTTTTGCAAAACAAATCTTATATATAAATATAAAAACGAATTGTGTTTATAATCATCAATATATATATATATATATATATATATATATTGAAAGTCGTAAAAAGGGATCTGGACCTTTGATCACCTTTAATTTCAATCCCACTTTATGAATCGTCCTTGATACGAGGACTGATCTGGTGCATATATGTACATCTCATCTTAGTGCATCTCACCCTAGTGTGCATTCAAGGGAGAAAATCATTTCTTACGCTTCTGACTATTTCTCCTTCCCACCGGAACCCAACCATATACTTAAACTCATCAAAGAAATTGAATTGGAAAGTATTCAATGATGTTTGACCACACATTTTGGTAAACGGGAACCATAATGGGATCTCTTAGAGAGATTGAAATCTACATGTTTAGTCGGCATAATGTAGTTTCGAAATTTGATTGGAATAATAGTAAATGATCAAAACATCATTTTATGACATTTTCATACGTTCTTGTTTAAATTATAAATACCATGTAACGATAAAATCGATGATAATATAAACTAGAGGTAGTGGTGGTGATGGCAAAGGAAGGATGGGTATGGTGATCGCGACAATGGCAGCAATGGTTGTGACAACATCAATGATGGTGGTGACGACAACAGTGGTAGTTAGCAGTGGCAAGGGCGTTGGTGATGCATTGTAGGCAAGGGTTTATGTTGGTCCCATTAGGATCTACAAAATGTGTATAACAGTTTGTAGAAGGGGGATGAATACAAACACAGTAAAACTTTTCAAATTTAAAATATATATTGATAAAAAAATCAATACAGATTTTATAAGATTGTTTGCGAAAAGATAAGATGAATATAACTTATCTAAACAATCTAAATTACACACTAGTTCTTAGCAAAGAGAAATGATTTGTTGTAAGAGACTTAGAAAGAAGTTAGTTCTTTCTGGATAAGAACTATTTAAAATACTAAAAAGGATTCTAACTTGTTTTTGAAGATAAGCGAATTAGGTTTTTAGATGTGTGTTCTTTTACTTATGAACATAAGTTAGAGTTCAAGAGTAAGTATTTCGTATCTCTGCATGGAGATAAAACACATCTATTTATACTCATTGTATTAAATGCACATTTAATGCACTATGTTGGGGTTTGAACACGTGTCAAGTATTTAGAGAAAGACTTGTCATTTGCTACAATGAATAGTACAAAAGCCTATTCATGAGCAGATATTCTTTCATAAAGTTGGTGGGTAGTAGAGTCAACTAATCGGCTCCATACCATACTATACTCTAGAAAGGGTATGGGTTTGTCCTTTGTGTGTGTAAGGACAAGACAAAGACAATCGTGCTCAACAAGCTTCTTTTGATCGTTGAATGCTGGAATAACCTGAAGGTCTCTTCAGCATTCGTTGAGGCTTTGACCAGTCTTCACACATGTGTAGACCAGGTTGTAATCACTGAATACCGCTTCAGATCACGTACTCGTCAGTCTCTAATCTTCAGTTTTAGTCTTCGACTTTCGCTGAAGGTTCTTTGGTGCGAGTTTTGTCTTCTTGAAGTATCGTTGTCGCTGATAGATTTACATTACATGTTCTCAGCGATCACTGAACAGATTCAGTGATGATCGCTGGAACTGAAAGACAGAAACAAAAATACTTCGTATAAAGTAAAATGAATTATCATCAAATCACTGAGTGAAAGGATCAATAGTTTCTTTTGGTAGTTGAACTTTTGAAAAAATTAGTAGGAATGAAATTTTACTCCGATGAAATCCTCAAATCGTTTTGAATTTCTGGAATTCAATTTCATTTCATGTATAGACCAGAATAGAATTTGATAAAACTAATTGATCATTTCAATTCCTTACAATTCCATATAAATCTTGCAAACGGAACTAGGGTTAAAAGTTCACCTTTCTAGAATCGAGTGCCTCCACCATTTAAAACTAGATCAACCTATTTTCACCTCAAGGTCCCTTGTCAAATATCAACTTCCATTTACGATTACCACATCTTCTTCGCCAACTCCAAGGTTCCGAGGGACACCACCCAAGCACTAGGTATGGGATTGAGACCCATCTTCTTAGAGAACCTGGTGTGCCAGCCTTGACGGGCACGAGAACTCCTTGCAAAAATTAAAAACAGGGGATGGAAATAGGCACGAGGTCAAGTAACATGATCTCATCCCGTCCAGTCTCCTCCTTGTGTATTTATTATTAAATATATTATTTATACATAATTAGATTTAATATATTTTATTAGATTTATAAATAATATTTTGACCTTTCTTCTTATATATAATTTTTTTTTAATTTATCTTGCCTTTTTAGATAAAAAAAAACATGGACGACTACAAGCATTTGATCATGATGTGATTTTGTTCACTGGGTTGGGCTCCGATAAGAAGAAGAGTTAAGATGAAAAACGTAAGAATTGATCTCTATCTTTAGATGCACATTAAGATGAGATGCAACAAGATGAAATTCACCAAATCAATCCTCGTATCAAGCGTGATTAATAGATGAGTTTGAGATTAAAGGTGATCAAGGATTGAGATATTTTCTTACGCTTCTCACATGATCTTCACCTTTGTTCACATATGAATATTTGATACTCCATAAAAACAAATTTTAAAAAATATGTGAAATTTAAACATTGACCATTTTAGATAGGGAATGGTATTTAACACATTTGATTTAAAAATATCTCACATAACCAAAAAAGAAGTCCTCAATTTTCCGTTGCCACGAGAATCATGCAAAGATTGGGGACCTGCTCAATTCCCATGTCGACCACCACTTGCCGAGCCCCTCTAACAACTTCCTCATAACATCGTTAACAACAAAACTACACTAATTTCTTGCCACTAGTTACTCGCACTTTATAACAAGTAACAGGTTTTCTTGAAAACAGTTGCACTGTCCTTTAAAATGCATTTTGTACGGACAACAAAATAGAACAAAAAATTATCCCTCCACATTTGACACAACATTAAACTAATAAAATTAGACTTGGAGCCGGTTATCATAGATTTCTGATAAGTGTTTACTCATAAGAGTCTAAGATCTTGTTTGTTTCATAAAAAAGCTCTTATCAATCCCTTATGTCTGATACGTTAAGAGACAAATTCATTCAGACTGTTTGTTTTTTCCAATTTTTCAGAGGCACTTGTATATTATTTTCCACTTATTTGATAAGAAGTAAACCAACCTCTTATTTGCCTCTTATTGTTCTTCAAATTCTCAACAACAATGTTTCTCAATCGATTAACATTAACCGATCATTTCTCTCCATCGATCCTTACCAAATCAATGCTCACCTCTTTCAGTCAATGTATTTTAATATGATATAAATGTGTTAAACATTGTTAATGACATATATGATTGTTTAAATAATGAATGTTAATTATATAATTTAGGTGTAATATTCATAAATGATAATAAATAAATATGTGAAATTATATAAATTTATCTATAAATTTATCACTATAATTTTCAATGGGTAAAATAGACAATTTAAACAAATTCGGACGTATATTAATTTATAAAAACAATCTTATTGATTCAGATTTCAGACTTCAATACCACCTCTTATAAATCAGAAGTGAAATAAGACTTCTGATTTCAACATCTCTTAAAGAACAAACTTCACTTAACACTTACTAAACAAACCGTTCAAGATTTTAGTCTATTAAAACGACATTGTATGAAACATTTTCTCTCTTAAAAGCTTACTGGGTAACAGTTGTCACTCTCATTTACCAAGTAAACTCTTGGTCCTTGTTATAGCTCTTACTAAGATAAGATTGTTCAATCTTTGTCACATTCATTCAATAAGGTAAAATGACTTGGAAGCAATTATAGATAAGTGTTGAATAAACGGCTCCAAAGTGGGAATTCTTTTTGTCCCACCAAAATACGTGGAACAAAAATTAAAAAGATTGAACAAGAATGGTAAATTACTAAACTACTCATGATAAATTAAAATCAATAAAATCTTCCATAACTTTTTCATCCGCTTGCCTCACTCTCACTCTCCAATCTTTATCTGTCCTGTTCTATCCCATCCGCTACACCATACCAAACTCACTTTTAGGACATATAACAAGAGTGTTTACGTCCCACATGAGACTCAA